GGCAGCAGCCGGAGCAGGGAAACCCAGACTTCCCTCTCCCCGGCCACTTCAGCCAGCTCCTCCGGGGGAATCCCGAGGCGTTCCCAGGCCAGCCGGGACACATAGTCCCTCCAGCGGGTCCTGGGTCTTCCTCTGGGCCTTCTCCCGGTGGGGCGAGCCCGGAACACCTCCCCAGGGAGGCGACCAGGAGGCATCCTAAACAGATGCCCGAGCCACCTCAACTGGCTCCTCTCCACGTGGAGGAGCAGCGGCTCTACTCCGAGCCCCTCCCGGATGGCCGAGCTTCTCACCCTATCTCTAAGGGAGAGCCCCGCCACCCTGCGGAGGAAACTCATTTCGGCCGCTTGTATCCGCGATCTCGTTCTTTCAGTCACTACCCAAAGTTCGTGACCATAGACGAGGGTGGGAACGTAGATCGACCGATAAATTGAGAGCTTCGCCTTTAGGCTCAGCTCTCTCTTCATCACGACAGACCGGTACAGCGCCCGCATTACTGCAGACGCCGCACCGATCCGCCTATCGATCTCACGCTCCCTACCCCCGTTCGCGAACAAGACCCCGAGATACTTGAACTCCTCCACTTGGGGAAGGACGTCCGCTCCGACTCGGAGGAGGCACTCTACCCTTTTCCGGTGAGAGACCATGGTCTCGGACTTGGAGGAACTGATCCTCATCCCAGCCGCTTCGCACTCGGCTGCGAACCGCTCCAGTGAGAGCTGTAGGTCCTGACTTGATGAAGCCAACAGGACCACATCATCTGCAAAAAGCAGAGATGCGATCCTAAGGCCACCAAGACTGACACCCTCAACACCTCGGCTGCGCCTAGAAATCCTGTCCATAAAAGTTATGAACAGGACCGGAGACATAGGGCAACCTTGGCGGAGTCCAACTCCCACCGGAAAAGAGTCCGACTTACTACCGGCAATGCGAACCAAACTCTGACTCCGGTCGTACAGGGACCGAACAGCCCGTAGCAAAGGGCCAGGTACCCCATACTCCCGGAGCACCCCCCACAGGATACCCCGAGGGACACGGTCGAACGCCTTCTCCAAGTCCACAAAACACATGTAGACTGGTTGAGCGAACTCCCATGCACCCTCCAGGACCCCGCTGAGGGTATAGAGCTGGTCCAGCGTTCCACGGCCAGGACGAAAACCACACTGTTCCTCCTCGATCCGAGACTCGACTATCCGACGGACCCTCCTCTCCAGAACCGCTGAATAGACCTTCCCAGGGAGGCTTAAGAGTGTGATCCCCCTGTAGTTGGAACACACCCTTCGGTCCCCCTTTTTAAATAGGGGGACCACCACCCCAGTCTGCCAATCCAGCGGGACTGCCCCTGATGTCCACACGATGTTGCAGAGTCGCGTTAGCCAACGCAGCCCCACAACATCCAAAGCCTTAAGGAACTCCGGCCGGATCTCATCCACCCCCGGAGCCCTGCCACCGCGGAGCTTTTTGACTACCTCGGTGACTTCAGCCCCGGAGATTAGAGATCCCAACTCCGGATCCCCAGGCTCTGCCCCTCCAATGGAGGACGCGCCAGTGGGATTGAGGAGGTCCTCGAAGTACTCCGCCCACCGACCCACAACGTCACGAGTTGAGGTCAACAGCACCCCATCCCCACTGTAAACAGTGTTGGTGGGGCACTGCTTCCCCCCCCTGAGACGCCGGATGGTGGACCAGAATCGCCTCGAGGCCGTACGGAAGTCTTTTTCCATGGCCTCCCCAAACTCCTCCCACGCCCGAGTTTTTGCCTCGGCGACCACCCGAGCCGCATGTCGCCTGGACTGACGGTACCGATCGGCTGCCTCCGGAGTCCCACAGGCCAAAAAGGCCCGATAGGACTCCTTCTTCAGCCTGACGGCATCCCTCACCGCCGGTGTCCACCAGCGGGTTCGAGGGTTGCCGCCACGACAGGGACCGACAGCCCTGCGACCGCAGCTCCGGGAGGCCGCGTCATCGATGGAGGCACGGAACACGGCCCATTCGCCTCCCTCGGAACGTGTTCGAAGCTCTCCCGGAGGTGGGAGTTAAAGCTCCGCCTAACAGGGGACTCCGCCAGGCGCTCCCAGCAGACCCTCACAACACGTTTGGGCCTCCCGGGTCTCACCGGCATCCTCCCCCACCATCGGAGCCAACTCACCACCAGGTAGTGGTCGGTGGAAAGCTCCGCCCCCCTCTTGACCCGAGTGTCCAGAACATGCGGCCGCAGATCAGCTGAAATGACAACGAAGTCGATCATTGAACTGCGGCCTAGAGTGTCCTGGTGCCAAGTGCACATATGGACACTCTTATGTTTGAACATGGTGTTCGTTATGGACAATCCGTGCCGAGCACAGAAGTCCAAAAACAGAACACCGCTCGGGTTCAAGCTGGGGGGGCCATTCCTCCCAACCACGCCCCTCCAGGTCTCACTGTCGTTGCCCACGTGAGCGTTGAAGTCCCCCAGCAAAACGAGGGAGTCCCCAGGGGGGGCACCCTCCAGTACCCCCTCTAAAGACTCCAAAAAGGGTGGGTACTCTGTGCTGCCGCTAGGCGCATAGGCACAAACGACAGTCAGGACCCGTCCCCCCACCCGAAGGCGAAGGGATGCTACCCTCTCGCTCACCGGGGTAAACCCCAACGTACAGGCACCGAGATGGGGGGCAATGAGTATGCCCACTCCTGCTCGGCGCCTCTCACCGGGGGCAACTCCAGAGTAGCAGAGCGTCCAACCCCTCTCGAGAAGGCTGGTTCCAGAGCCAGAGCTGTGTGTCGAGGCGAGACCGGAATCTCTCCGCCTCGCACACCAGCTCAGGCTCCTTCCCCGCCAGAGAGGTGACGTTCCACGTCCCTAGAGCCAGCTTCTGCAGCCGGGGATCAGTCCGCCAAGGTCCCCGACTCCGGCCGCCGCCCAGGGCACAGCGCACCCGACCCCTATGGCCCGTCCCATGGGTGGTGGGCCCATGGGACGGGGGACCCATGTTGCCTTTTCGGGCTTTGCCCGGCCGGGCCCCATGGGTGAAGGCCCGGCCACCAGGCGCTCGCCATGGTGCCCCACCCCTGGGCCTGGCTCCAGGGGGGGGGCCCCGGTAGCCCGCGCCCGGGCGAGGGAACGCTGGATCCAATTTTATTAAACATCATAGGGGTCTTCTTGGCTGCGCTTCGTCTGATCCCTCACCTAGGACCTGTTTGCCTTGGGTGACCCTACCAGGGGCTTGAAGCCCCGGACAACATAGCTCCTAGGATCACTGGGACACTCAAACCCCTCCACCACGATAAGGTGGCAGCCAAAAAAGACTTTTTGTCCCTTTTTTTTGGGGACCAGGCTTTAAAGTGAAAAAGGAAAAATAAAGGGAACATCACCAGTTGACCAGTACCTATGTGATAAAGATATAGAAACAATAGAGAGCACTTCCCAAACAATTTTAAATTTGAGCTATTTTCCTCACTTTTTGCCTATTTCAACTTGCTTACTTGAATACATCTTTCCTGTTTCACCCAGGCACTCTTTTTCCACTCACCATCAATTTTCACAATTTTTATCCTATAGTGGAAAAACGTATTGTTCTTCTGCACATCTTTTCATGCTTAATTCCTTCCTCTACCTTTCTTTTAACTTAACCTATATTTGGTACATTCTTGCTTTTTGTTATTTCATTTGTAAACTTTCTTTTGGTTTTGTTTTTCCCAATTACTTATTACCCTATTTTTCCACCTCTTCTCCTTCCACTCCTCCAGCAGACCGTACTCTGGTTGTTTTGAGATTGTTTAGTTGCAATTAGAGCTGAAGCAGCCTGATCACTGTGATCAGTCAACAATGACAGCCATTAACAAGCTACCTACTCTGTGTGAGTGCATTTGTGTACATCTTATACGGCAAATGTATTTTTGTATGTTACCGTGCCTTTGTTTTTATGTCTGTGTGTGTGTCCATTAGCTGCTTGCCAGCAACACATTAGCAGTCCATTCATTAGCTGTATGAGTATCTGTCTGCACTTAAAGCTTTGATCCATGAAACCTCCAAACAACAACTGAAGGGTGAACAAGCTATAGTATTAACATTCACTGCTTTACAGCTCACATACATTAAAGGTTAATCTCAAATGTTTAGCATACTGTATTTCTGTGATATGTATAAATTATTCACTTTATGGGTAGTCTGCCAAGATAAACAATTACCAACAACTAATTGTGATTAAAAATGCCCTCTTCATGCAGGCACAAAATTGGCTTCTGGCACAATAAACACCTTTTTTTAAAAGTCCAAGTGTCCAAACATTTTTGTTTCAGTTAAGATTTTAGCTTATTGACACAAACGGAAGTTTACTGAAATATTAGCAAAACAATAAGTTGTGGGATACGTTCTTCGGGTTATTTGTAAATTTAAGATGATTGACGGGCTTCCAATTTTTTATGCTTCTTTAAAAAGTAATCTTTGACGTAACCTAGAGCTTTAAAAAAAGCTGTGATGCTGTGCTCAGTCTGAAGGTGGAGGAAAAGTGTGAGCCAAGTCTCATTTTATGGGGTCTGGGGTTTGTTAAGAAGTCTTTAATCCAGGTACAAGTAAGAGGGGGGAGGCCTAAGGTGTATAGTTTGATGACCAGAATGTCTGGGATGATTGTATTAAAGGCCGACCTGTAGTCCGCATAGAACATGCTGGCGGAACTCTGCTGCTGGTCAAGGTGGCACAGCACAGCATGTTGAGAAACAGTGATGGCATCCTCTGTGGACCTGTTTAACCGGTATGCAAACTGGTGGGAGTCGAGCATGGGATGGGAGGGCGGGGGGTCCTTTGATGTGCTGGAAAGCACATCAAAGCATTTCATGACAGTAGGTCTGAGAGCAACTGGGCGGCAGTCAGGAAGGCTGGTTGTGGGGGATTTTTTTTCATCACCGGAATTATTGTGGCTGATTTCAGGCTGGTGGGGATGTCTGTATGGGCAGGGACAGGTTAGAAATGTTTCGGTATACATGGGACAGCTGCTGGGCACACCCTTGAGCACCTTGGCCAGTATTCAGTCAGGACCTGCAGATTTCCTGGGGTTTACGGCCAGGAACACATGCCGAGCATTTTGCTCCTTCACAGTGACCGAGGGGGTTATGGAGCCTGATGGAGGTGGGAGCAGCGCAGGAGCAAATAAATGTCGTTGTGGTGATTCAAAATGAGCAAAGAAGCTCCTGAGCTCCTATGCCAGCAACTGGCTCAGGTCTCCTAGTGTCAAATCACAGCCCCTGAGGTTTTTGATGTTCCGTAATCCTTCCCACAATTACCGTGCTGTTTTGCTGGTGAGGTGGGGATCTATCCTGCTCTTATAGTCCGCTTAGTTGTTTTTAACAAGTTGTAGAGAGCTTTGTGTCCCGACGTGAAGGCTGCATTGCGGGATTTGAGGAGTAAGCGGACCTGGCTGGTCATCCAGGGCTTCTGGTTTGGAAAAACCCGGACGCTTTTGTTGATAGACACAGTTCCCATACAGAACAGTGTGTAGTCCAGTACTTTCGCTGTGTGTGTTTCCACAGTTCAAGTAGGTCCCAGTCGGTGTGTTGGAAAGAGCCCTGCAGTGCACTGAGAGTATCCTCAGGCTAGGTTGTAACAGATTTTGTGAATGATCTGGATCTGCGTCTGAGGGGGTATGCACAGATGAACAGCATGGAGCGATAGTCGGATTTCCTGAAGTGGTGGAGGGGTATCGCTCTGTAACCGTGCTTCATGTAGGAGTACACATGATCGAGAGTGTTTTCTCCTCTTGTGGGGCACTTAATGTGTTGGTAGAACTTCCGTAGAACAGTCTTTAAATTGGACTTATTAAATTCTCCAGCTATGATGAAAACGCTATGGGGTCGCGCGTGCTGTATTGACAGCTTGTTGTACTTCTTAGTCAGTTTCTTCATCACACCTATCTTTAGGTATGATAATAAGCTAACTTTATTCCATGCAGCCTTGAGCTTAGCTTTTAATCACCTTTTACATCGAGGGTATTGCTCCTTGTAGTTGTTCAATTTGTAGCCAAGCATCTCTAGGATCACTGCTCTTGTGATGTACATCAACTGGTTAGTTTCAGTGACAGTTGCAGTAGGAATTTCTGTAGTGCTGCATTCACATCTTCAAGAAGATCTTCAGAAGGTACTTCATGTAATCTTGGTAGTCGGCAACAGAGGGTCCAGGTTTCCAGCTTAGCTATGATCTTCTCTTTCAGGACAGCTTTTCTTTACCAGTGGTTTGGTACACAATCTTGGAGTGGGGGATGATGGTGAACTCCCCATACTGACCTTGCATTTTAGCTCCCATTTGCAGTATTTGTATTGTAGCTCATCAATCTCAAGGTGTGATAGTGGTTGCTTCTCGAAGTTAGCAGTCCTGCGATGTTGGTGTAGATTTTAGGTATAGAAAAATCCATTTTTCGCAGATCCTCTTCATGTTACCGCTTCTGAAGTGGTTACTTGTGTAAAAGTATTTAGACAGTGCCTGGCATGTTTGATGGTCACGTTCGGCCCATATTTTTAAAATACAAGAACTTATACATAACATAGCGGCATAGTTTATACAATGTACTGTATATATGTATACTTTTTACCACGTAGTTCACAGACAATGTTTATGTTTCCCATACATAATAATATAATATGCTAGAGCTTTATGAGTGATGAGGTGCGCTGTGTCTTATGCTGTAGTTTTTGTACCGCAAACATTTTACATTTAATGCTAGTCATTGCCATATGCCATAGTGTGATGCACTATTTAGAACCATTAGACAGCTTGATGTTGAGCCTGACTTCACTATGTTCATTATCTGCTGGTGCTCCTTAATGACAATCAGATGCATGGCCTAATTACTGCCTCACAGACAGGGGAGGTGTGTTTTGGGTGCTCGGCAGACTGCAAGGTCAACTTTTGGCATCATGTTTATGTATATGTGTCTGTCCGTGTTTATGGAACCTAGTAGAAAGATGATATAAGACGAACCAAGGGCAGAGGGTAGATAAATATTCTGCTGTTTATTTGTTGTGTGTGTTCTATAGTGATCGTGAGTATATTTTTTGTTTTTCTGTGTATGTTGGTGCGTCATTTTAAATGACTGTAACCTTGACTAAAGGGTAAAATAAAGGACACATTTTGAATAAATTCAGAAAGGAATGAGACTCTTTATAATATTCATAACTAGCAGACTCACTATTAATTTTTCAAACAAACAATTAAATACCAACTTAAATCATTGTGTTATCTTCATGTTTTGAGAAGAGCTGTGGTAAAGGAGATATTTCACATTAACAAATGTAAGTAAGTTAGATTTCAATTTACTGACTGTGACTGCATGTTTTTAGGCTGCTAGTGGATATACAATGTCACTGAATAGCTTTGGCGGTGAGGTAGCCTATATGTGTTTGAACTCAACCTGCGGTCAGCTTTTGCATAGGCTAACTTCTAAAAAATCATACCTTTAGCCTGCTGGTGTAGATTCTTAGTTATTCAGGTCATGGTAATCCTTAGAGCTTGTGTAAAAGCAACTGGACTTCTTTGTTCTTGCAGACTTTTTGCCTCTCATTGGAAAGGCGTCTTGAGTTCTAAACTGCAAAGCAGGGAGTGTCAGTTTATAAGTAGGGTGGATTTTTACGGTCTGAACCCCTTCAGCATCAACATGTCCACATTACATTTTGGCATAAGTGCACTTAAAACATGTTGTTTTTGTGCGTTTAACTTTAAGTAAATATTGTCACAAATTATTTTTATAATTTTGATAAGACAAATGACATTTTCAGAGATAATTCTAATTGTTGAAAATGACCGTTTTCATATATCGGTTAAATGTTAACCGCTCAAAGAATACATCTTCATTAAACTGTTTCTGTCTCTCTTTGGAAATTCATATTTGTTAGATAAAAAGATTCTCAGTCACATATCAGTGTGTGCTTACAAATATCAGAATCAGAATCAGAATTACTTTATTAATCCCTTGCGGGAAATTCTTTTTGTTTCAGGGCACCCGTTTACAAAAGAAAAAATAAAATAAAATGAAAAAAAAAAAACTCTACAATCAACAGTATTTACAAAGTTGCTCAGTGTCTAAATAACTATTGTTGCACATGACCGGGTTATTGCAAATAGTAAAGTATGCAGTTACAGAATAAAATGAATGGCAATAAAAAGAATCTTGTGTTGCTACCTTCAGTGGTAGCTCTGAGATATATTAGTAGTGGATAAACTTTGACTGCTGACTTCTCCTTTGTGCTTTCCTATATAAATCTGATGTACAATCAAGGTTCCTGATCTGTCACTGCTTGAAAATCACAAATACAGTACAAATGCAAGTTCTACACAATTGTGTGACTCTCAGGGCTCACAAGGACTGTTGATTTGCAGATCATTATAAGTGTATTTTGTTGTTGTGTGTACTTATTTTACTAGCAATGTCTTTTTAATGTCTTCATTTTTTTCCTGATTGTATTCTTACGCTTATGGTAGTTGTAACAGGCATTTAACCCTTCTGCTCTTTTAGTTGTATCTGTATTTGCATCAACCTCTCTTCTATCACTGTGCCTTACATAAGTCTGTCTTTCTATTCCCATTTGCTTTGTCCATCCATCATACTAGCTTACCATTCTTGTTACTCATCCAACATCTTTCCCCATCTTTCTCTGTTCATCTTCACACCATTTCATCCCCTTTCTTATTCTGGTATATTTTGTTTGGGTTGTATCTTTCCCATTTATTATTCTCTAATGTATGTATGTACATTAATTATTTTTCTTTACATTCAACCGACTCTATTTTGTATATTCTTCATCCAACCGTCCCTATGCCATCTTTAATCTCTTTGGATATTTACACTCAGTCATATTTTTATTATCTCGTGCATATATTTTCGTCATCAGTTTTTCCCTCCTCCTCTTTCCCTCCATCACTGTGCTCTTCCCCATCCCAGCTTTCTGTAGCTTTTTTGCCGTCTGTTCATCTGGAGAGAAGCGATTCATATAAATGTCATGAAATATCAAGCCTAGGTTGGTGGGATTAGGGGGCAAGAAGAAGATACAGTGATACCAAAAAATATAACAGTCTGACAAGACAGCCAACATTGGGGATTAGGACACTAACACACATACACACACACACACTTCTGCCTGAACAGTTTTAGTTGTGTGTCTCATGAGAATATTGCGCTGTGTGACCTTAGTGCAGTGTTGTTGCATTTTAAAGATTTGTTGTGCTTGTGTGAAGAGTCCTATGCTGCATATTGAACAAGGAGATATGGGTGAAGTGTTCTGGTGAGGTGAGTGAACATGGAAAAAGAGAGAAAGGTGTTTAATATGAGTTTGAAAGCAGTGTAATATTTAACAGCTTAGTGGGATTTGTCTGTCACATTACGAAGGATTGGACTGACTCTGGAAACACACATAAAGCACAGAGCCACACATGTGACTTAATGTGAATTTTTAGTGACAACTGGTGAATTTAAATCTTTTTCAGAACTTTCATTATTTAAATGTATTGAAACTGTCATCATGGAGAGTTGATACTTTTACCATTTTCAATTTTGTAATTTTAAAATGTATGACAGTAAATTGTTCTATCTATCTATCTATCTATCTATCTATCTATCTATCTATCTATCT